AGACTGCAGCTTTTAGCACAACACACCGGCCTTTTTAAAATTTTTCCTCTAGTCTACAGGCATTTATCCCAGTCTCCATGATCAATCAAATATTATCAAGAGTATCAGTGATATCAACCAGCTCCCTCAGCACTCCATCAGTGCCCAGAGCCTTATCTATGTCCAGTTTACTCAAGTATTCTCTGACCTAAATCTGTTCCATCAAGTGTACATCTTCCCTGCTCCAGACTCTTCCCTGCATTCTACAATTCCTGAAGGTCTTTGCTAGTATAGACAGAAACAAAGAAGGCCTTCAGTACCCCTCAGCCTTTTCCACATTCTGTGTTCATCAGAGCCCCTATCCCATTCAGCCATGAGACCACATTTTCCATAGTCCTCCTGCTACTGATGTATTTACAGAAGCACTTCTTGTTGTCTTTGACATCCCTCACCAGATTCAACTCCAGGCAGACTTTGACTTTCCTAAGCATATTCGGAATGAATAAGAAATATATTACACTAGTTTCTGTCAGGGACCATACAGCTTAAAGAAAACATTGCTAAACTGCCACAAACATGATGAACTTCTTTGTTGAAAAAGTTATTACCTAGAGAGTCTTAAAAATACCCTCTCTGCCCATAAATTGTTAAAGTTTTCAGAAGCCAGGTATCAAAAATCATGTAATATATCTTACTCTTCAGTTAGACTGATATTAATCCAGAACAAATTTATTGTTAATACATGAAGAACCTTTCTTATCAAATACACTGCTATCTTTTAATTTAAAAACTTATTCATATTTTTCTTATTATTATCATCTTATTTTTATTATTATTATTGGAGCACATCATGCTTGCAAACTAATTTAATGAAATTGTATTTATGTCTAAAACTTACCAGTTAGTGTTAGCTGGACACAATTTATTTGTTTTTTTTTTTAATCTTCCTGATTCCTGTTTTCACTGAATAAATGTAGAAATTGCAAGTGCAACAGTGCTGTGGGATTTTTTTAAAATTTTTTTAAGAGTAGGTCATTATAACCATAATAGAAATAAACCATATGCGTAATAAGGTACATTAATTATAATCTCAAATTGTTGACTGATTTTGTCTACTGTTCAATTTACTGCTAGTCTTCCTTCAGATAGTTGTCCATCTTTCTTTACTTTCTCTGAACATCATGGCTTTGAAACTACTTTCATATGTTTAAAAAAAGACATTCCCACTCTCTCACATTTTGAACATGTAATTAAATGGTTTTTTTCCCCCTAAAGACCATGTGTTTCATTACTATATCCAGATATATGTTAGCACTGGATTCAGACATCACTCCCTACACCTTGACGATTTATATATTGAAGAGTCATTTATTTTACAATATATTTTTGGTATTGATAGTATATAGCCATAAACCTGTTTCCTTCCCAAATACTCTCTGGGCAGCAGTCTTTGGTGATTTTCAGGACTTTCTCTTTAGAAGACTATAAAAGACTGTTAAACAGAGATACATCTCTTTCCTGACTTACATCACAACATTTGATGTCAAAGCCCAAATGAAGGTCCTTGGATTAGTAAGTGTCAAAAACTGAGTATAGAAATTACCTTTCCTACTCTATTCTATGGAAGGTTCAATCAAGTCTTTATATACTATTAATACTTGCTTGCAAGTTTTAGTTGAATTTAATTTTGTCCATTACAGGAACATTTACTTCCTACATGTCCTGGACCACGTTAAGTATCAAAACCTTTCTCTGAGTCACTACATTCTCTAATGAAATTATACCTACAGTCTTGGGATGGGGAAATAATAGAAGAATCTAAAAGGAGAAAAACATCCAGAGCTGTCAAACAAATAAAAAATTTCCCTCCCAAATCTAAACATCCTCCTGCACAAAACAGACATTCCATATATCAAGCCTAATCCTTATTAATCTACCAACATGAACTGAGGCATACCATACCAGCTACTTGACAGCCTTTTAATAAGCGAGTAGATTCATAATGCATCTGAAGGCCCATTACCTAAGAAATTAAATTTTTTTTAAAAATAGATTCAGAAGATGAAATTTTATATTTGTACTGCTACACTCAGAGTTCTAAGGGTAGCTCACTTAAGCATGAGCCAATTCAGATATATCTAAGTTCACTACTATTACTTTACAGTTTTTAACATTTCTAACAAAAGTAAAAGATATTTTTACACTCACGCAGTTTGTTACTTAATTATACCAACATTAATGGGAATGGATTTTCTTCACTTGCTGAAAAAGACGATCTCAACAAATAAAAACCCACAAGTTTTAACTAAGGCAGATCTAGAAGCTAAAAGGACTTAGAAATAGAGGCAAAAGGCTAACCAAAGGGTTATTTCAGTTGCTGTGGTCCCAGATTAATGCAATTTCACAATGCTCTGTACTCAATAATAAACATACTCAATTCTAACTTTTAAAACTGCAAATATATATGCATAAGACCGGGGTTTTAAAAACATTGATATACACACAAACTCTCATTTCTAAAAAGACCTCAATACCCCACCTCTTTCAGCCTGCCTCAATACAATCCAGAATGGCAGGCAAGAAAGAGGACGTAATATAGCATCCTTGCAAAACATTCATAGTGAAGAGATTGAAATATATTCCACTTTCCAATCCACAGACTGTCAATAACTTAACGATACAGAGAACACTTATAAGCATCAGGGTAATTAGAAGTGTAAAACATAGAACCATAAAGGTTGGAAGAGACCTTTAAGACCATCAAATCCAACCATCAACCCAGCACTGCCACTATCCCTAAACCACATCACCCAGTGCCAGATCCAGACACTTCTTAAACAATTTCAGGGATGGTGACCACCACCTCCCTGGGCAGCCCTATTCCAATACCTGACCACCCCAAGAACGCAAAAATTTTTTTCTAATATCTAATCTGAATCTCCCCTGTCTCAGCTTGAGACCATTTCCTCTTGTCCTCTCACAGTAGACACAAAGGTAGGTAAGACACGCCTCCACCTCACTACAGCCTCATTTCAGGTGGTTGTGGAGAGCGATGAGGTCCCCCTTGAGCCTCTTCTTGAGACTAAACAAACCCAGCTCCCTCAGCTGTTCCTCATAAGACATGTTTCCAGACCTTTCACAAGACTTGCTGCCCTTTGCTGGACACACTCTAGCACTTCAATGTCCTTTTTGCAGTGAGGGGCCCCCAACTGAACACAGTACTAGAGGTGTGGCCTCACCAGTGTCGAGTATAGGGACATTAAATGAATAAGCTATTAAAATTTTAAGATTTTTAAAAACAAAACATAATGCTGCTTTCTGAAGTATGTTTGCACAGGCAGATATAAACTTCTGACAATTGTTAGCAATAAAAATACCATCTGATTCACCCAGAAGAAGACAAATTATTTAAAAAACATTACTGTAACGTATAGGATAGCAAAATATTGGAGATATTTTTTTTTCCTACAGAAAACTGAACTAGTTTACTCATGGTGTAATCTCTCACGTACACCACTGGCTTTTCTCCATGTACATCACCACAGACACAAGTGTTGAACTATTCTCTCCGAAGAAAGGGTTTGTGGAAAATACAACTTTTTAACTCCAAAGAAGCACTCTTACTAGCAACCAATGCTAGAGCACTAGCAATCAAAGTAGGTGTTCCAATACTGACATGATCATCTATTTCTGTAGTAAATTCCGGAAGAACTAAAATATAAGTGTTAAATCCCTCCAATACTCTTGATTATGTGCCCTACTGGTCTATTCAATTTCTACCAAAATTTAAAATGAAAAAAAAACCCTTTTAATGAGTTAATTTATATATGTTACAGGTATGAATTTAACTTCACAGTAAGTAACTGAAATTGATGACTTCATGCAGCATGTACAAACAAAAAATTAAAATCAGACGTGAATTTTTAATTCCATTAACAGTTTATCTGCTACTCCAGTTAAGGTACCAGCAATGAAACTTTCAGCTGTTCTACTAATCACTTTATTAGATAAACTAGTGATGGTGGACATCAAGGAACTGAAAAACAAGCTGCTGATGAATAGAAACGAAAGCAGAAAGATGAAAAAGAATCTGTAGAAGAAAGCACTAATAAAACATATCTTCATAAAGACTAAAAATAGTATTAGTCTTATAGAGAAGTAGCTCTCAACTCCTAGTCTAATATTGCAACTGTTGTTGAACTACATGTTAATAACAGTTCAAAAAAGTTTGACAAAAATTCACTAACTTCCAGTAAAATCAAATGGCAAAATATTTTGGAGTCAGATTTTACTACAAATTGGCCAGACAATCTTTGACCTTAGTGAACACCTCCCTCCCACTGACAGGCGAAGATCACACAAAAAGCATACAGTGCTGTGGTTTCTAGTATGGACAATGTCATAAGCAGAATTCAGCCCTCTTGTCAAAACACACTGGCCATTCAGAATAAATCCCCCTTCATTTTGTGGAAAACCAATGGTCTGTTACTTACAGGCTACACAAAACTGGATAAACAGAAATTGGAAAGGTGCCACCCTCACCTTTAGCAGATCTCCTACAGGAAACCTTGTCACCTACAGCACGCAGTCACAGGAAAGAGCCTTGGAGATTATAAACGCTTTACTCTCTCAACTGACATCAGAATAACAACTCAGACGAAAACACTCCTCTGACAAGATATTATACCTTCTCCTCTCTATGGAGCTTGTCCTCAGGTTCCGTCCCCTCTTCCCGCACGCCCGGGCCTAGCCAGAACCCCTCGCCATCCCTCTGCTGCACCAGGAGCCTGAGCGCCAGCGGGACTCCCGGCAGGGAGGCGCACGGGGAGGGCAGGAGGCTGAACACAAGTTCCTACAGGCAGGCCCCGGAGCAGAGCCGGGGACTGACCCAGACGGGCTGACCGTGCAGCACTGCCCCGGCCTGCCAGGCCGCGGGAGGAGCCTGACCGGGATCCGCCAAAGGCCGCGGCCACCGCCTAGCGCAGCCCCTCCGGCTCGTCCCGCCCCGCGCCCCGACTGACCTGCGCCGCCGCCGGGCTCTGCCTCTAGCCTCCCGGCGAAGCTCTGCGCGGACGGGGCCGCCCTGGGCAGTCTCCGCTCAGCCGCCCCGGCGCGGGGCAGAGGCCGCTCCCGGGCGGCGGCTCGGCCGCAGGGACCGCAGTGACCGCGGCGCCGCCCCCGCGGCTGCGCAGGAAGCGCTCGGAGACACCGGGACGGCGCGCGACAGGGGCTTCCCGCACGGCGGCCGTGCCGGGGCGGGGCGAACGCCTGCCTGACTGACAGGCCGATGAGCAAATCAGCGGCTCGGGGGAGAACAAACAGCCAATGGGAGCGGTAGGGGCGGGACGGCTCTAAGGCCGAGCGGGGCCGCCTGGGAGGTGGAGTGTTTGCGTGATGCGGGGTCTGCGGTGCCGGGTCTGGCGTCCCGGGGGAACCCGAGCTGCGGTTCCGCCGTCTGCAGTTCGGCGAGCGCCAGCAGGGGCTCCTGGTCGCCCATGGGGCCGTGGAGAGGCTCCGGCTCGGGGTGGGGTGGTCACCGGAAGTGGTGCGGGGAAGGCGAGGCCGAGCCGCTTGGAGCCGGGCCCAGCCCGAGGCACAGCCCGTGGGCGGCGAGGGACCTGGGGAGGATTTACTGGCGGGAATCACAGGGCTGTGAGAGTAGAAACTGAGCTGACTCTGGAGGAAATGTGGCAACGTCCTAAAAATACTGCAGGCGGGTATTTCCCCATCAGTAACACGCCAGCGATGTTGGTTGCGTGGCTGCTCGCTTTGTAACTGGCGTCAGTGTAAGCCAGGTTGTCCTGCTGAGAACGGGCTGAAAGTGTTTTGGGTGACTCAGAGCTATTATTTGGATGAATTGTACACCTTGGGGAAAACTGCATTGAAAAGTTGGCTATTACGGTTCTAGAAAGCAAATTAAAGGGAACTCTGTGAACAGGTTGATAGCAATTGACAATATTTATTAAACGTAGGAATTAAAAGATACTCAAATAGTGGTTTATTTATTTCCAAACTGTAACTATATTTAGTTGTGACATATTCACGAGCGCAGATTCACAGTTGACGTTAAGAGTCACAGTTCCTCAGATACCTTGCTGAGGTTATCTGTGCTGAGGAGACTGAGAGCCCATAGGCACATGTGTGGATGGATTCTGTACTGTTTTTTTCTAACTCACAGACGAGAAATTAGATGAAGCTCTGGACTACTTGAGGTGCCCCAAAACGAAGTACAGGCCTTTATGAATATCAAAATCTTGAAAAAAAACACTTTTGTTCAGGATTTACATGTAATTTTTCATAATGTTAAAGCAAAACAGATGTCTAACTTTGTTAACGATGAGTAATTCCTCTTTTAGAAGACTTGTTTGAAGTGAATAAGGCTAATTCACTTGGCTGATTTCACAAAATGGAGATCAGGTCTTTTCTATGAAAAATACATTTTAAGCAAAATCTTTTGAGCTAGGAAGGCACTTCTGTTTTACAAAAAGATGTTGCAGTGGAAAGCTTATGACCACTAATAAAGGAAAAACAATCACCCTCAAATATTTAGGTAGTCTACTATATACACCAAGGTATTTGGGGTAATTTTTGCTTTGTTTTTAAAACAAAACCATGTAATGATTTATTTCTGCAGAGGAGTAATTAATTGAACCATGATATTAATTTATTATCATTTATTTATCGTTGTATATTTGAATTAGCAACAAAAACACTCCTTGTGCAGGACACTGGAGAGCTTATCAGCATCTAAAATCTTCTGAAGTGAGACCCTATGTTATGTGGGCATAGCAGAGAAAGGCAATAGAGAAGCTCAAGAGTGAAGCAATGTGCTGTTTCTTGGTGGGCTGATATTGTGACTGTCTCTGGGAGCTGTGATTTCTAGGTGGAAGCTTGCCTCTGTTTTGACACTGCAGGTGCAGCTGACTATCTGTGTCTCATGAGGTCTCTGAACAAAAGTTGCAATGCTAAGTTGTCTGTTTGGAATACTTGCAGACCCTGTAACAGGAAGTGTAATAGGGCAGTGCTGAACAAGTCTCACATGCAGAATAAGAGTTTTGACATGAGTTCTGGAAGATGACTTTCAGAATAATTCACGAGTAAGTCTTGATGAAGCCATTTTTCCTCATTTATTCCAGTCCCTGAAAGAAACAGCAAACAAATAGGAGTATTTCATATCTGAATTTTGTCCTCATTTTTTCATTTCTGTACTCATCTGACACATTTCCTCAAGCTGTTCCTTCTGCTCTGTTCATATGGAGATCATCTGGCCCTCATGCTGGTGAGAACTGTCCTCCAGGATTCAGTGTGGACAAAGACTGCAAATTCATTGCCAAACAGATCGGTTTCACAGACTTATCTTTTTCTAAACTGGAAAAGAGCATGCTTGCTTAAACTCCTCCAGTGATTAAAAAGGGAATTTTCAGATATGCTGAATGAAATGGAGAGTAAACTGAAGTTACCTTTCTCTTTGGCAAACTTTAAACACCCTTTACACCCTGCAAGCAGTACTTGAATTGTTGTGCTTTGCTGGTGATTCAATAATCAAAATGTTATTTGTAGTGTCTTTGTAGCAGGCTGCACAGATTAGGAATTTAGTCACTGCTATTAATATTCTTCCTGAAGCGGAAAACCACAACTAAGGGACTGAAATATGAAGAAAGAGTGGGGGATGGAAGAAAAATGAAAAGCTGCAGCATACCTTTGTCCAAGGTTTTCATTTGTGTCTAACCTTCTCTGTCATTTCTATCCTTCTAATTCTTTCAGGATATGATAGAAAAATGTCCTCTTTGACTACAGAAAAGCACTCTCAAATTTCTGTGCCACTACTTGAAACACGGTGATGCTTTTAATGCAGACATTTTCCGTGGCCTTAACTGCTCACAGGTCTGTACCAAAACCAAAGTAGCCACTGTGAATACCTAGTAAGTACTGTTCATAAACATTTTTATAATGTTTGACCTTAAGAGTGACCTGAAGATTAATGGATATGTTGTATCAGTTTTAATGGGTCTCTTTTCTCTTGGATACACACATGTGACTCCCATTAGTCTTAATGGGAGTTATATGTGTGCCTAGAGGTTAGACAAGATCTCTAAAGGTGCTGTTATGCTCTGTTGTATTAACGATCTCATAATTGCTGAGGTGCTGCACCTTTGCATTGAAAGCAAACTAATTAAATTGGTCTAGTATAAGTTGGTGTACTAGCATACCCAGCACGTATGTGTGTTTTCCTGAGTCTCTCAGTACACAGAGGTACCGGCCAAATCAAATGTGGAATTCAATTTTTTTGTGTGACTTGACTTCCTTTGTAATTGTTCTTTGTAATTCAAAATGATTTCATGAGTTTGATTCCTAAGAAAGATGATTGTTCGTGTGAGTACAGGGGAAGAAGCTGAATGTGATGTTTTATTTTATCATTAAAGGATGTAGTGAGAAAAGACTGAATTGATTCTTATTTTGATGTTGCAAATCATGCACTTTGAAAAAAGGCAGTTAAGTCTCAAGGATTAACCTGAAGCTTGATGTTGAATTTTAATTATGGCTTTGTTACTCGTTTCTTCCAAGTGCCTTTAGACAAAGCACTTCACCTTTCTTTGATTTCCAGATATGTAAAATATCTACTTGCTTCTTAGTGTTGCAGACATAAATTAATATCTGTTCTATACTTTGGAATTTTAAGATTGGTGCATCCAACTGTATTCTGTTGGCATAATCATGACAGCACAGGAGGAGAAAAAATCATAGTATCTACCTGGTACAACCGAGCAGAAGTCCTAGTGATGATGTAGATCTGTCAAGAGAACTGATTCTGTTCCATAGTTTATGATGTGTAAGACGGTGCATTGGTAATGAAAAAAATTTGGTACGTTTTTTGGTGGAAAAGATTGTACAGTAGGCAAATTGACATTGTATAGGCATTTGACATTTTCATAGATCAAAATAATAATTAGAATCAGATAGTCACTGTGAAAATTTGTGTGTCTTATTCCCTGTCTCCGTGCATTTGAAAATCAACCATGATGTAGTCTTCTTTGAAAATATAGATTTGAGGAAAGAATGAATCTTAATATTTACATTCTAGAGGAAAAGAAGGGTTTATGTGATAACCTTCACATTTAAAGTTGATAATTTTCTTTTTTTCTTTTATCAGATAAGGATATTACATAAATCCAATTTCACAATTTAGTTTTATTATTTTTGAAGTAACAGATCTTGTGGCATATTTTTGGGTGGGGTTTTTTTTGTTAATATAATTATTTTATTTTTGCCCTTATGTGATTCTTACTTTCTAGTAGAAAGTAGCAAATTTCATAGCATCACACAGAATCACAAAATCAGCTAGGTTGGAAAAGACCTCTGAGGTCATCGAGTCCAACCTATGACCCAACACCACCTTGTCAACTAGACCATGGCTCTGTGTGCCACATCCAATCTCTTCTTAAATACCTCCAGGGACAGTGAATCCACCACCTCCCTCCACAGCCCAGTCCAATGTCGGATCACTCTCTCCATAAAGAATTTCTTCATAATGTCTATCCTAAACCTCCCCTGGCACATCTTAAAACTGCCCTCTTGTCCTAATGATAGTTGCCTGGGAGAAGATACCAGCCCACACCTGGCTACAGCTTCCTTTCAGGTAGTTGTAGAGAGTGATAAGGTCTCCCTTGAGCCTCCTCTTCTCCAGGCTAAACATCCTCAGCTCCTCATAGGGCTTGTGCTCCAGTCCCTTCACCAGCCTCATTGCCCTTTGAACCTGCTCCAACACCTCAATATCCTTCCTAAACTGAGGGGCCCAGAACTGAACACAGTACTCAAGGTGCAGCCTAATTAGTGCCAAGTACAGGGGCAGAATCACTTCCCTGGTCCTGCTGGCCACACTGTTCCTGATCCAGGCCAGGGTACCATTGGCCTTCTTCAGAGTGCACCTCGGCACTCTGCTGGCTCCTGTTCAGCTTCATGTCAATCAGAACCCCCAGGTCCCTTTCTGCCTGGTTGCTCTCCAGACATTCTGTCCCCAACCTGTAGCGCTGCAGGGGGTTTTTGTGGCCAAAGTGGCACTTGGTCTTGTTAAACATCGTACCATTGGATTGAGCCCATCTATCCATCTTGCCTAGGTCCCTCTGCAGAGCCCTCCTACCCTCCAGCAGATTGACACTCCCCACACACTTGGTTTCATCTGCAAATTTGCTAATGGTGGACTCAATCCCCTCATCCAAATCATCATTGAAGATATTAAACAGGACTGGGCCCAACACTGATCCCTGGGGGATACCACTAGTCACTGGCCACCAACTGGATGCAGCCCCGTTCACCACCACTCTGGACCTGGCCCTTCAGCCAGTTCTGAGCCAGCAGAGAGTGCCCTTGTCCAAGCTGTGGGCTTCCAGCTTTTCCAGAAGTATGGCATGGGAGATGGTATCAAAGGCTTTGCTGAAGTCCAGGTAAACTACATCCACAGCCTTCCATCAGACGGGTCATCTGGTCATAAAAGGAGATCAGGTTGGTCAGACAGGACCTGCCCCTCTTAAATCCATACTGGCTGGCTCTGATCCCCTGTCTGTCCTATAGGTGCCGTGTGATCGAACTGAAGATGATCTGTTCCATAACCTTGCCAGGCACTGAGGTCAGGCTGACCAGCCTGTAGTTTCCCAGGTCTTCCTTCCAGCCCTTCTTGTGGATGGCTGTCACATTGGCCAACTTCCAGTCATGTGGGACTTTCACTGGTGATCCAGGACTGTTGATAAATGACAGAGAGCAGCTTGATGAGCTCCCTCATCACCCTGGAATGGATCCCATCTGGTTCCAAGTGGCTCAGCAGGTCACTAACTTCCTCCTGGATTACAGGGGGGTTGTTCGGCTCCCCATCCTTGTCTACCAGCTCAGGAGGCCAGTTGTCCTGAGGATGACCTATCTTGTTGAAAACTGAGGCAAACAAGATGTTAAGTACTCAGCCTTCTCTTTGGTAACTATGTTCCCCTTCATTCCACTGAGACTGTGATGGTAATGTCTTTAGCTCTGTAATTTAGAATACCTGGAAAAATCTTGTGAACTGTTTTGTAAATATACTTTCTTACATTTGACTCCAATGTGTAAAATATATTGTATAGTTTAATCAATTTTCTTTCTCATGTAAATTTCAAACATTAATTTCCTTGGGTTTTTTAGTAATTTGTGATTAGTTCTCCAGTATTTTTTTAAAAATAAATAGTTAATCTTATTAGTGTTATATTTAGGCTATATAGGATATTGTTAAAAAAAGCTAAAAAATGAAAACAAACCTTAGCTCATTTCAGTTTCTGTATGTATGCTTATCCATAAAAAGAAAGGAATAGTTCTGTTTTGTAACCCTGGCAAACTCCAAATATTTCCAAATTTTTAAATGTGTTTCTATGTACTTGAGGTTCTTTGCTCTAAATTTTGCTTTGATAGCACACTCTAAACTCCCAGAGACAGGAGTTGTGTCCTCTGTATTTTTTACATAGTGTCAAGCATCTGCACTCTCATGAAGGAAGCTTCTGCTGGGAAAAAAATAATCTATATTTTGCTATTATCTATAGACCAATTTTCTAAGCAGAATAAGCAAATTTGTCAAAAGGATTTAGTTGGATTTTTTTCTTCTTTTTCCAGAATAACTATGCTTATATTATTTTTGACAGTATAATGGTTGATTGAGTGTGAGTAATTAATTCTATTCCCCATATTTTAAGGGTGATCTGATCCTGGAGCAAGTTGCCCAGATGGGTTATGGAGTCTCCATCCCTGGAGATAATTAAAACTCAACTGGACACAGCTCTTAACAACCTACTTTAGGTGAGAGGTCAGACGAGACAACCTCCAAAGCTCTGTTCCAACCTCAACCATTCCATGATTCTGTAAACTGTGTAGTTACCTTGTTGAGACTCTTTCATTGTAGAAGAGCTTTCAAATGCCAGTTCAGATGTTTCAAATGGTAATTGAGATTGACCAGTTTTTATCCATATCTTGAATTAAAAAGCACATGAACAGAAGCAGCATAACATAACTGACCACATGAAGTGTTTTAAGACTAAACAATTGGATACCTACAGGGCACTATGCTGAGTAAATGACAGTTTTTATAGAATGGAAGAACAGTAGACAGCACCAGTATGGAAGCTATCTATTTTTTCAGTCGCCCTTGAAATAGTATGTAAGTAGATACTGCAATAAATATTAACTGCATTAATAAATATTTTTAATTTTTATGTGTAAACTTGATTGCCTTAGCAATTGCTTTTGTATTAATCATTCATAGTTCTGAAATGAATGAAATAGCTATACCTTATGAGAGATTTTTTTGTGTTAAATTTTAAATGAGTCATGGAAATATTAGGTGGTTTACTGGGAAGTTAAGGTGTTGAAGCTAAGAACAAAAGTAAGGTATTGGGATTTTTTTTTTGAGTTTGATTTTGAAAAGTAGTGTTGAGTAGTTCTGTAGAGAATTTAGTTCTAAGTCTGATATACCGAGAGTTACTGTAGCCAGCTGTTTTACCTTGGTAATATAGAAAGTTAGCTGGGCTGGTAAACTAAAACTTGAGCTTGTGTTTTAGCCTCTCCGTTTCATAGTCCTTCACTAACAGTTGTTAGTTTTAGTGTTTTGAAAACAGGGATGGTTTAGGCATTGGCACCCTTGATTTTTGATTGTGGGTGTTACTGAAACAGTGCAAGTGGAAAACAGATTTCTGATACCATCTCAGTAGAAATTTGTTTGAACCTGTCACAAGTGGAAGAGAGATTGGTGATATCATCTCAATAGCAATTTGTTTGAACATGCCCCCAGAGCTCTTTAGGATTTTAGAACCTTGTCGTTAGGTTCTAAATTCCATAAAGTTGCTGTGTATGCCAAGTATATTGAAAGTCACTGATTATGCCCATGGAAAAGGTCTGGTTCATTACATATGCCCAAATAATTATAAGGATGCTAACAAATCATTCTAGATTAATGATTCCTATATGAAATTAAAACCAGAAATTAAAAATATGAGATAAAAACCTAACACTGCTTTTGGTAATCTGTACTTTTTTTTACCCCTACTTGCACACTTCAAAGATGGAAGAAAAGGGATGATTAAATTTATTAGTAGTCTATGGAGGGATTGATTTTTCTCAAGCTTGTGTTGAACTCAGATACAAAAATTAGTAAGTTAGTACAAAAATTGCAGGTGTCAGGGTGTGCATGGGAATAGGTTAAGAAGAGCCAGAGCTTGTCTTATTTTTCTATTTTGTATTTTTTTACAATAAAATTTAAATTTCAACTGTGCTTTTTATTTGTGTTCAGTTTTTCAATGGGACAAGAGACAGAGTTCAACTGCATTGATTTATGAGTGAATAGCGTGTCCCATTCAGATCATCCTATGGCTAATGTCACAGACAAATGCTGGAGGAATTCAGTGCTCTTTAACTCAGTTTTCATAAGCTGCAGTTGCTCATAGCTGAGATAAAGGGACTGATCTAATTCTGAATGAAGGTAAGGGATTGATAAACAGGAGTATTTGTTGGGTTTTGTGGGGTCCATGTTAATAATAATTTCATCACCCTTATACAGACTTTGCAAATTATGTTTTATTTCAAATTAGAGATGATCAACAAACATTATGTTCTTTGGAACATAATGAAAGAAAAATTTAAATTGACTGTTCATGTACTTATATATGCAAAATCATCTACATTATGCAGATGTCTAAAAGCAGAAGCAGAACTAGATTTGAGAGGAAACCTGTGTTGTATTCCGATATCAACAGCAACTTAGATCACATTGGTATCACATCAGAATAATGTTTTAGAGCCTCTACCAATTTAAAAATCAAATTGATGCTAGATTTGTATAGAACAACACATTTGACTGACAGAAAAGGCTGTTATAGATGGATGTGATGTTCTATCCTTGTCTAACAAGGGTTTTGACTGACAGTTTAACAATAGTACACTTTCTATCCCATATATTCTAAATGATTATTATTACAATACAAAACATTTTTGCACTTGCTGTATATAGATAACATGTACACTTCTTGTGTAATAACATTCAAGAAGAGAAGGTTTCTTTTATGTCTTAATGATGACAATTAATGAAGGCTCCATCTAACACTTATAACCAATGTCAAGGATTGCTATTGTGGTGCATGGTAATGTAAAAACTATCGGGGTACTTAGCTCCCAGTGAAAGATCAGCATAACTCTTGACACATGCTATATGGTGGATGAAATAAATCTCTCTGGAGAGCAATAGAAATATTTCTTAAACTGAAGAGCACCCTTTCTATTTTATAATCCCTCTTTTCAGCCTTGCAGTTCTTTGCATCACTGTAAAATGCAGTTTTAATCTGAAAAATAACTGTGTAAAATGGCACCTATTAATGCAACAAATATGCTTTCTGTGCTTTGCAGTCAACATTTTTCTGAAATGAGACCTAGGATTCTTCTTCAGAACAATAGGTCAAGATAAGGAAGCTACACAGTTTTTCTTATTTGTGTCTCTCATTCATTTTGGGGAGACCATCCTTTGGTAAGTATTCTCATCATTTTAAAATTTCCAGTTTAAATTCTCGGCATCCTTTGTCCCTTTAGATCTTCACAGCACTGTAGGAAGTGTCTCCCATTTTGTGTAGGTTTTCACAAGAGCAGGAACAGTACAGTGTGACTACATAATATTTGATGATAATAAAAAGATCAACATTAAATTCTAAACTCTTCTGTAAACTTCATTTTAGTGTTACATGCAACTAAAGAAGAAGGTATACTATTTTATGAACCTCCCAACGATGAAAAATATAGAAAAAATTGAATAGAAAAAAATGGGGCCACATTCATCAAAACGCATCTTCCTCTTATCTTTCTGATTATCTAGATGAGGAAAACATGATAAATAGAAAGATTGCTTTTACAATATGGATTTTTTTTTAAATTGGCTTACTGTGAAGGATATTTTTCTTAAATGACTTTGTATTTGGTAAGGGAATTTAATAGATTAGTTTTTTCACCTCATTATGTATGATCAGTGGGATCTTGGTATCTTACGTTTGTTCAGCAAGATTTTATTTGTCTGAGAAAGGACAAATTCAGTATATGTTTTATCCAACAACAGGATTATTTATTGGCTTGGGACAGTGATGGTGATATTTTCTGCAAAGCACTAAAAAGATCTTTAAACAATATTTACCCTGTTACTGGTGGTGCCACCTCAACTGTATGTCAGTTTTAGATAGAATACCACTGCTTCTCTAGCAGTGATTTATGATATGAAGGAAGGGATAAAAGTAATTTGGGAAATAATATTATCCAGTTAGAAAACGATCACTCAGAAAAATTGTAGTTTTATCAATATAAACTGCTAAGTTTTAAAGTGAAGCCAACTAAAAAAAAATCCATGATGTGGAATTATATTGATCTTCACATAGGTCATTGTGATAATACAAACATCTGGTACTTAATTTGAGAGAGCACTAACGATAATCATCTGTACAAGGGCCTACTCTAGAGGCTGTTAAAGCATATTCTTTACCGACCACTGAAAACTCTAGTTTGCAAACTCAGATTGAGTTCCAGTTTCTCAGCAGGATGTGTCATATTGGTACAGAACTGTGCTCTACCCCCACTCAGCTGACATCATCTGTTTAACACAGTTTTTCTTTCTCTGACATCTTTCCTCATTTTGCTTAATCCATAGCCTCACCTTACTTTGTGTCCTGACTTTGCTTATTGTCCTTCATGAGTGAATACAGGTCTAAAACTGTCTCATCTTAGTTTCTCCCCCTTCTGCTGTTTTTTTTCCCTCTGACCTTTTGTGTCATTGTTCCAGTAACAGTTGTCTGTCTAATCTACGTAATTGTCTTTGGTCTTTCTTGCCTCTTTTATGCTTCTCTCATCTGTGAACTCTCAGTGCTCAATTAGTGAAGGAACAAAAGGCGCAGAAGGAAATGTTCCCTTGCTGTCTATTCTTGTCTTTGGCATTGTAACAGACTGGAACAGAGGCAACTACAAAGGGCTGGGTTAGCTCCTTCATCTCCAGTTTGGAGAATACTCAGTAGGGATATTTTTTTGAAGAGACTTTTGCTTTTGGAATGAACTTCCTGCTGAATATATGCAAAACATAATTTGCAGAGATTCACAACTTGTCTAAAGGTGGGAGAATTTCTGCAGGATTCATGAAAGCACAGTGTTGAGATAGGGCATATGGGATGAACTATCTTAAACCTTTGTGTTAAATTGTGATGAGCTTTCAGTTTTAAGCAAAACATTTCCTCACTTTTAATAGGGATAAAGCATTTCCTTTGTACTTCATTTTTTGAGTGAATGCAATATTTTTCTTGATGTCCATATGTGTAATTCTCTCCCTGGTTTAACAAAAATGGGAAGTGCAATCTGGGATGAGCATAGAAATATGCCAGCCAAAAAGCAAGGATCTGTCACTTGGGGAGCTGAAGTACTATGTTTTAGAATGTGTCAAAGTCAGATGTCTTTAAACATTTGCTGTACAATGAACACCACTTACAAATATGTGTGAGGGAAACATATACACATTTGTCAAGTTACCTTATTTTTTTAATTAAAAAAAAATTAATCTCCTTAGCAGAGACATTTCCTCTCAGAATAAAGACCTGATTCTGGAGTCTCATAGATATTTAATTTGCAAGATAGCATAATGAAAATATGCTAATAGCTTTTTCAATAAGTTAATAGCTTTCAAGTTCATACTAATTAGTTTGTTAAAATATTCTATTGGTAAAATACTTCTTTTTCCCCCCAGTAAAAGTTAAGAATGTAGCACAGTCTTACAAGGAGCATCTTGCCAATAGCAAAAACCGAATGAGAAATAGTATCAAAATTGTTAGAAAAAATAATTAGCAATTGAGTGATGAAGGAAGCTGCCATGATTGTCATCAAAATAACTTTCTGTCATTTTACAGTGAAATCTGAGAGATTGTAGGAGTGGATTTTGTGGAGTTAAGTAAATATTCTTGGGAACAAGGACAGGAAAACAAACTTCTCATGGTGTCATACTCGGTCCCAGGTGTCTTACATTCCTGCTACCTATGGCAGCAGCTGCAGGAATGGTGAATGGTGCCCCATTTTCTGCCCATCCTTGGTGGCCAGAGCACCATGAAATTAAAGCATCCATCTTCACATTGAGAAGATAACCCATACCTCTCATTTTCCATGTTAATTCTCTATCGTTAGAATAGTGTAATACTTTGTTCAGTGAAAATTAATGAAGTATGTTTTCCTTGATTTTTGCTTGGTTTTTTATTGGGAGGGTATTGTATATTCCCCTACATCCAGCTTTTTGCTAACCTCTCTGTTTCTTTGGCATCTTTTAGTAATACCCTTAGATCTCCCTAGGACTTTCTAAAACAGTACCCCTTATATCCTTATATATTCACTTGATATACTTTGAATCCTACTGCGGTTGTTTACATCTTTCTCATGTCCTTTTGAAAACATACACTTAGCTTACTTTTGCTTCTGTTGGCTGGGCAAAAGCCGTCATATGCTCTGACTTATTCCAAAGAATGCATGTGTTGAATGGCCTGCTGGCTATTGTCAGAGTGAATAACATCTAAAGTCTCCCTGTTCTTCTATCAGTGAGGGAATTAATAGAAATTATCCCTGCTTTTCTGTCCCCTGGTCCTCCCCATTTACTGAGTACCACAATAGCTGTAATATCTTTGTGAACTCAGTTGCTCTCAAATTGAGTAGAACTAAGTCACTGTATTAAAATTTAAGGTAATATAGTGATGAGACAATGTAGAGTTGGGGAATTTTACTTGAGGAAATTTATTTTCATCAAACATGAATCTCTGGTTACTCCTTTGATTGACAAGAAGAAAATGACAACCAATAAGACATACACTTTCATAAGCAAATGGTCCCTTCCTGCCCTGGTTCAAACAGATGCAGACAATTCCTAAAATACCTGGATGACAACTATGTGGTAAAGGTACTAAGAGATCTGAATAGGAAGGAGGTATTCCTTGATTTGTTACTTGTTAACACATGGTCTTGTGAGTGAAGTGGAGATTGATGGCTATCTTGGCCACAGTGACCACAAAGGAGTCAAGTTTAAAATCTCTGTTGACTGGAGGAAATGTGCCAGCAAAACTTCAACCCTAGACACGAGGAGAGCAGACTTCAGGCTGCTCAGGAAACTAGTGAGTCAGGCCCCGTGGGAAAATGCTTTTGAAGGTGCTGGGGTCCATCAGTGCTGGTCACTTTTTAAGCATCACCTCCTAAGGGCAAAGGAACAGGCAATTCTAAAAAGTCAGAAGTCAAGCAGACAAGGCAGAAGGCCAGCTTGGCTGAGCAGGGATCTTCTTTTGGAGATAAGGCAGAAATGGGAGGTGTGTGTCTCACCCCCACCAAGCGTGTTTCCAGCTCCCCACACCTGCTGCTGTAGTCTTAAATATGTCTGAGCAGGGATGCCATGTGCTCCCCGGTAGACTGAAGTTTTTTCCACCTTTTTTTTTTGTTTGTTTGGAGTTTGGTTTTGGGGGGTTTTTTGTTTGTTTGTTTGTTTTGTTGTTTTGTTTTGTTTTTGTTTAGGACAGGCTGGAGCCAATTTTGACTGGCACATGGCAGTACATGACCTGCTCCCATATAGGTCACCACGCTTCTGCTACTTAAATCCTGTAGAATATGCTCATTTAAAGCTAAGTAAAGCAAGATGAATGAATAAACAGATAACATCATGTGTACCTCTTTTTTTCCATACAAAAGTATGGAGAAAAAGAGATAGCATTAACTTTTCCTCTGCTGTTTTTTGGTTTTTGGCTTGTTGTTTTTTTTTTTCATAGAAAGCAAAGTATATGCATTATTAGTCATAGGATGAATGAGGTGCTTACTACAAAGGAACAGTTTTTTTCAGTGGGTTTTAGTCTTATATAGGCATCCAATATTATTCTTTTAACAGTGATATTAGATAAGAAATTGCATTCGAGGTCCTGTCTCTCTTATATTTTTACTTAGTGGTTCTTCTCTCTTGAAGCACAGCTGTTTTAATTCCTAAGTATGCAATTAACCATTCTCGTTTGGAAAAAAAAATTAATTTTGAGATTTACATTTGGTTCAGAGTCCCTAGGAATAAGATCTGGTCAACATGTGAGTTTTCTTGTTAAAATTCCAGCTTTCTGTTCATTCAGACTTCTCTCAAATTGCCTACTTTATTTTGACTAATATAATACTTCAGAAAAAGTCCTCTCTCTGAACAGAGTCTATCAGTTTTACTTTGGTTACAATTGGTTAGGTCACTTTTCTTTTATATTTTCATCCTGATAGCATTTTTCTTCTTGTTCCGGAAAATAAATTCCTGTTTCTGTACTTTTTTGAATATGTTTCTTTCTGTTGGTCAGTATAAGGTTTCAGCCTTATCATTTTTTCAGTGATATAATCTTCAAGCATAACTCTGTATAATTATCAATTTCATATGAAAATCTGACTTGGTCAAACGATATTGTTTTAGCTCACTTGTAGGAAATTTATGAAATGCATGTGGCATTGAACCTTGATTTT